CTTCAACTTATGGTGACTCTGAGAACAAGAGACCTCCATGTCATCCCACCATCAATAGATTGTGCTGATTTGGGGCCAGGGTTTCCTTGATTGAGTATCCTTACATAATTTCCAATTCAACTTTTACAATAGGGATGAACAATATATGGTGTTTGAGGTCTGAGTGAACAGCACATATATAGTCAGAAAGGAGAAATATGCAGATCTGTAATAAAACTGAACCTGATGGGTTGTTCATCCCACTTTTTATGACAGGCTTCCCCAACCTGGCAGCTTTCAGACAGTGCATTACAAAACCCACTATTTCCAGTCATTCGTAGTCCAATACATCTGTAAATTGCCAGGTTGGGGTAGACAGCTTTAAAATGACAACAGAAGTACTTTTAGAGGATCCAATAACATAAAGTGCTAACAATGGCAGTGGCAACAATGTACAGTAGCTAATTATATGTAACTATTATAAAAAAATCAGCTATTGTGGCTGGTTCAATTGTTAACATTAACAACAATGAACTAACCTCCCCATTTCTAACTATCAGCATTAATGAATTAGTTTTGAAATGAAAGAAACCAAGTTCTGCTTACTTTTGTATGGAACTGAGCTGTGTACTTTGTCTGCTTTGTTGGGAAATTCAACTAGCTAGTACATCTGACACCACCACTTCATTTTGGCTGTCAACTGTATCTTCTAATCATGGACTACTGGATTGTGCCCCCAGAAACTCCTCTTAAAATGGAATTTGGCCCTTTAGTAAAAAATGTTCCCCATACCTGCTACTATGGTGTAAGCAATATTATACACAAATACTTGTAATAATAGCACAGGAATTGTGCTGTGGATACATGTTGTGTACAAGGGTAAATATGAGGTTATGACACAAGACAACATAATCTCCTATATTCTAACTCAGGGCCCTTTCACACTGCTCTTTATCGCCAGATCTGATCCCAGATTATCTGCTATTAACTGGAATATATGAGTTCCCACTGCCAGATAACATGAGATAAACAGATAATCTGGGATCAGATCCTGAGATAAAGGGACAGCACAGAAGGGTCCTCAGAGAGCTGTGCTGGTGAGTGGGACCAAGTTTAGCCACTCTCCTGCTTGTTCAAATACATCTCCCCATAAAACTAGTTGATGATTGGGGAGTTACAGCATCAGATGTAAAGACAAGAGTTGTAATTAATTAATCAACAGCTAGTTTAAGAATGACAGTGACAAAACAAAATCAGGTACCGATACTAGATGAAAGGTTGCTGTGACCTTTGTGAAATATCAGAGAATAAAATTAACTGGGAATGTTTAATACTGTGGGGGCAGGGATGAAGTAAAACTTGAGGGGATGGGAATATTTCTAGTATCAGCTTCTAAGGAGCTGGCCTTCACTACTCCTCCATGGTTGTCCCTAGATGCCATGTTTATGTGGACATAGAAAGAAAACAATGGGGTACTACCAAAGATAATACAGGGTGAGGCAGAATAACTTCCTTTTTTCAAAACTTAATAAAACCCATTGCATGAATCAGATTTTTTTAATAATGTAGGCGCATACCTAAAGTTTTGTTTTATGTAGTTTTCAAGATCAAATTAGGTAGGCGACGTTCCCCATTCTCCATACACTAAGTAAACCGATTTCTGGCGTTTGTCATGACTCTTGCCAGCATAGCAGGCGTTATGTTGGCAATTTCTTCCTGGATGTTGGTTTTCAAATCTTGTAGGGTCCTTGGACGGTTCACATAAACACGGGATTTCAAAAAACACCATAGAAAAAAATCACAGGGGACCAAATCTGGAGAGGGGGCCAGCCACTCCAAATCCACTTGAAAAGTAGGCCTCAACGCTCCTCACTGTTCCAACGCATGATGGCAACTGAGCTGTGTCAGGACAAAATTTTATACTCCCACCTCTCAAACGAGACCACTAGCACTCCGCTACGTCTTCAACCGACTGAATGGCGCACATTTAAAAAAAAGGAAGTTATGCTGCCTCACCCTGTATATAGGCTGCATTAAATACTATTGCATGTTGGACTCCTCTTTCCATAATCAAAGTGCCCCAATATCTATGAGGTACCGGTGTATTCATTAATGTAAAGATGTTTGATTATTCAATGCATGGAATATTTGTAGAGAATTAATTCTGCAGATTTTAGAAGAACTGCAAAACAATTAATACTGTCTAGTCAAATGAAGTAATTTGGTTTTTTAAATCACTGGCCAGAGCTATTTAAAACAAAAAAAATCAAAGTAAAATCTTTTGTGCCATGCAGGAAATATGAGTAATAAAAACAGGACTTCCTAAAACTCCCAACAGGTTTTGCCTGAGTTGTATAAATATTGCATCATTTCACATTATCAGATTTGTATTTTAAATAGTACTAAAGAATTACACAAAAGAAAATCTTCTTAAAGAAAATATCCACATGGTTCAGCTCAGGTGTTAGAAGCTGGGGCAGAATATGTTAATGAGGAAGAAGATGAACAGTGGCTCAGCTCCATTTGCATATTTGTTGCCGGCCCATCCATGCTGTACAGAGTCTTGGATGCATTATGTGATCTCATGGAGCTGTATCACAAGACATGACCAGCTTCAGCAAATGCGTTGTTGTGCCATCTATAAATCTTAATGCCAGATATAGGGAGGGCTGCACTTCTAAACACAGCATTCTTCACTTTTGGTGATGTTGTGTCATCTGATAATGACATGGCACACTGGGGTGCAAATTATGTCATCATTATCAACAAATACACACAAACAAATACATAAAAACATACTCCCGTCTTACTTTCTGTTTTACATCATTGTACACATATTGCACACAGTAAGCTTAAGAGAAAAAACAAACAAAGGGGAAAAGGTCTGGCAACCACTAGCACACACCTGCTGGAACATTCTTTACGTAAAGCAGATCTAAGCAATAACTTAAATCACTGAAGCATAGTGCATACACTTAAGAGTGTATTATGCCCACTTTCTATTTTATAAATGTATATGGTAATGCATCTGCAGTTTTGCATTCTTCCACCACTCCCAGACACACATTTTTAAAACATTTACTTAGGCTAGGGCACCAACATGAATGGATACTAGTCTTCCAAAAAAGAATTTAGGACTAAAATATTTAAATGGAAACCTTTCTTATCTATGAAGAATACCATCACCACCTTAAAATAATTACAGATTCTAAATCATAAACTCTTGGCTCTGTCTAGATTATTAATGAAGATGCTAAAATAGCTCATATTCAATATTTACTGGAAATCACACAACACTTAGGGAGGAAATGAAAATATACTTGCATTTAAGTAATTTCAGGATGGTGTAGTGGTCTGAGCACTGGACTATTTATTTATTTATTTATAACTTTTATATCCCGTTCTTCTCTACCTCCGTGGTGGGACTCAGAATGGTTAACAGCAAAATTCAACGCAATACAATAAATAATATAATAAAACTATGACTCTGGAAACTAGAGTTTGATTCCCCATTTACAATACAAACCCACTGGGGAATTTGGGTGAATCACTCTCTCAGCCCAAAATTCCCATGATAGGTTCCCTTTGGGACACTATAAATTGGTAATGACTTGAAAGCAAACAAAAACAGTGTGGTTCACTTCAATAACAACACAAGAATTAGTTTAAATCCCACCTATCAAGGAGTAAACTGCAAGCTAGCAGAGTTTTATTTCTCAGTAACTATGTATATGATTGACCTATACATTGTTCCAGGTGGACAGAGGTTCACTTTCAATTCCCAAAAGCTCAAGTCAGCATGCTCAATCGTTTGAAATATAGTTAAAACAACATCTGCAAACCAAATTTGGGAAATATTTACTGATCAAACTAACCCCAGTGGAGATGTTCAAAACAGGGTGTGCATATGGACTAGTTTTCAAAACAGGGTGTGCATATGGACTAGTTTAGTATGGACTAGTTTTGTTACTATGACATAAACAACTTCAATCTGATTTTAATAAAAGCACCTTAATGCTAGAATTGCACACACACTAATTTGGGAGCCAGTTACTTAAATCCAGTAGTCACTGTGGACTATAGTAGACCAAATAAATAAAAAACCTGAAATCAATCTTAAATTATCCACTTTGCATTGATTTAATGGATTCACTTTAGTTTGGACTAATTGGATTTCAGCCAATACTTTCTGTAAAAAGTCCTCTGTTCACAAATGTGTGTACACTGAAACTTTACATCTGCCAACTGCTAGTCTTCTGCTCAGATTCCGGTCAAGTTTGATCACACTTTTAGCAACAAAACAAAGCCCAATAACACCAACATTATTTTAGTACAGAAACAAGATTTGTCTAAATAAGGCCAGAAATATGTGAAAACACTGCACTTTTAACAATACATGCATAATTGCAATTTTGACAGAATAGCACTTAGTACAATGTGACATTCTTACAATATTTCTTCCAACAGCATTGCCGACATTCCTAATTTATCTGCAGAAGAATTCAGAGAATTCGTGTAATACCACATTGACAAAGATTCCCTTAAAATCACAAATATTTTGGATTCAAACCACATCTTATCTACTATATTATTCCAAGATAGTCCTATAATTTTTGTGTGCCAAGGGTAAATTTATGAACATCACATTATATTTAAGCCAGCTTTAAGACCCATTAGCTGATTGCAGGTGTATTGCTCTTCTCCCAGATTATACTGTTTAAATTAACATGAAATCCAGATGGCACACTGGAAATGAAGGAGCAAGCATCCAGCTCTTTTGGTAAGAGGTGGTTAAAGCTACTTTCACGCACACCCACTCCTGATTTTTGTACCTACCAGGCAATATGTAATACACACCAGTTGCATTTCTAAGGAGTAAGTAGCTTGTTATCTCATCAAGAGTCCTGATAAGAAAACTGCAAAGAGATGTTTCCACCTGCAAAAAGGCTGAAGAAATTACTCCCTCTGGGCACTGGGTTGTCTCAAAAAATAGATATATAAGTGCGTGTTGATGCAATCACCTCCTTACAGCCCTCCCAGTGCTTTCTTTGCCAGCCTTGTGGTGAGTTAGTAGTGTTGCCAATGCTGCTGGTGCTTCCACTAACATCAGGCTGACTCAGATTGTGGGTCACCAAACTTCTTTGCAAGCAAGCTCCTGTTGTACTGCCTCCAGCCACTTCAGTTCTTCCTCATCGGCTCCACTCCGCCCAAAATGAGGGAGTCACTCCTGAATCATCCAAGAGTTCATTTCAATCATCTCTTAGAAAAGGGATTTGGCACATTCCCGTAAGAGCAGCATGCCTCCCCAGGGACAACTCTACTACGACTACTACATGCATCGATTTCTGATTACTCTTTCTGGATCCAGGTCAATCACGAATCAAGGCAGACCCCACATTAAGACCACAAGCATGGAAATCTTGAATGTAGTTGGGAAGAAGAAACAGGTGTGCAGAAGCTTTGAACACAGTTTGACACTGCTTTAACTGCCACCGTTCAAGGCTATGAATAATGGCAGTAATAATTTCTTGAGGCACCAGCACTCTGTAGAAGAGAAGGCTAAAGACCTTGTAAGACTACAAATTCCAGGATTCCATACCATTGAATCATAACAGTCAAGAATGGTGTCAAACTGCATTTATTCTAGTGTAGAGATGCACCAGTTATTTCGGAGATCCCAATGGCACAATAGGTTAAACCCTTATGCTGGCAAAACTTCTGACTGAAAGGTCAGCGGATTGAATTTGGGAGTAGGGTGAGTTCCTGTCTGTCAGCTCCAGCTTCTCATTAGAAGCTTCCCACAGGATGGTAACACATCCATGTGTCCCTTGTGCAACGTCCTTGGAGACAGCCAATTCTCTCACACCAGAAGCAACTTGCAATTTAAGTCACTTCTGACATGAAGAAAACACACACACACACACACACACACAGTTGTTTCCAGAGAAGCAGAGGCAGGGATTACAGGTGATGAGTAAGAGGCATTCTATATATACACCTTCAGAGGCACTATGTCATATGTTTAGGGTAAAACTGTGTTTCAGCCTTTCCCAAGCATGCTACCCTGCTCCTGGAAAGCATTTTATTATGTTTATGTTTGTTTATACCCCATTTGTTCATACCCCTTTATGTTTGTTTATACCCTCAGAGGTTGTGAGGTTTGTTAAAAAACAAGTGAAGTGGGGTTTATATATCTGTGGAATGTCCAGGGTGGAAGAAAGAACTCTTGTCTGTTTGAGACAAGTGTGAATGTTGCAATTGATCACCTTGATTAGCATTGAATAGGCTTTCAGCTTCAAAGCTTGGCTGCTTCCTGCCTGGGGGGATCCTGATTGTTCCTTGTCTGGAATTCCCAATTTTCTGAGTGTTGTTCTTTATTTACTATCCCAATTTTAGAGTTTTTGAAATACTGGTAGACAGATTTTGTTGATTTTCAATCAGGGCCAGCTAATCACCTCCCAACAAAGGAGTCCTCCGGGCAGGAAGCAGCCAAGCTTTGAAGCTGAAAGGCCATTCAATGCTAATCAAGGTGATCAATTGCAGCATTCACACTTGCCTCAAGCAGGCAAGAGTTATTTCTCCTACCCTGGTCATTACCCCAGGCAGGAAGCAGCCAAGCTTTGAAGCTGAAAGGCTATGAAATGCTAATCAAGGTGATCAATTGCAGCATTCACACTTGCCTCAAGTAGGCAAGAGTTCTTTCTCCCACCCTGGACATTCCACAGATATATAACCCCACTTGCCTGGTTTCCTACAAACCTCACAACCTCTGGGGATGCCTGCCATAGATGTGGGCAAAACATCAGAAGAGAATGCTTCTGGAACATGGTCATACAGCCCAGAAAACTCACAGCAACCTGGAAATTGGTTAACTTTTGAGGAGAGGCTACCTAGCTATTGTGCAACTTGGCAACCTCACTTGTTAATCCAACACACATCCAAGGACAGGAAAGCACTCTGCACATGCTCAACCTCCCTTCCCTGTTGCTATCATTACCACCACATCAGGAATGACATGGAGAGAAGGATCCATGAGGCTGGGTCCTGCTGAGTCTAGGCAGGTCTCCAAAAAAGTGGTGGCAGCCAAATTCCAGGCACTTGGTTTCCTTTACAAAAAGCAGCAACCCTCCTCGATCAACAACATTTGAAAAGGCAAAACCCAACCATCGCCACCACCCTGAAGAGAAAAATATCAACACACACATGCATACACACGCTCCCTTCAAAAAAAATAATAATAGGAGGAATAATGCCTCCATGATTGTCTTGATAAGGCTATAACTGAAGTCACTTTGAGTCCCTCTTGGGGGGAGATAAAGTGGGATCTTAATAATAATAATAATAATAATAATAATAATAATAAATATAATAATAATAATATGTATTTAGTAGGAGAAATAATGCCTCCATGGTTGTCTTGATAAGGCTATAATTGAAGTTACTTTGAGACCCTCTTGGGGGAGATAAAGTGGGGTCTAAATAAATATAATAATAATAATAATAATAATAAATATAATAATAATAATAATATGTATTTAGTCAGAGGAATAATGCCTCCATGGTTGTCTTGATAAGGATATAATTGAAGTCGCTTTGAGCCCCTCTTGGGGGAGATAAAGTGGGGTCTAAATAAATATAATAATAATAATAATAATAATAATATGTACTTAGTAGGAGGAATATTGTCTCCATGGTTGTCTTAATAAGGCTATAATTGAAGTCGCTTTGAGTCCCTTTTGGGGGAGATAAAGTGGGGTCTAAATAAATATATTATTATTATTACTACTTTAAATTTATAATTACATTATAATTTAGATTCTCACCTAAACTTGGGAAATGTCAGAGGTGAGATCCAATACAACAGCCAGCATAGTGATCTTGTTTGCTGTATCTTTTTGTGTTCCAAATACTGATAATTCACCTGGATGTTGGCCTGAATGCTTTCAGATAGCTTTAGGAATGAAAGGAGGCGCCTCCACCTGCCTTCAGCAGCCAGGTTTCATTTACACAAAGGAGAGATTCTCACCTAAATGTTTTCGAACGGGCATGGGCCAACTTTGGCCCTCCAGGTGTTTTGGACTTCAACTCCCACCATTCCTAACAGCCGGTAGGCTGTTAGGAATGGTGGGAGTTGAAGTCCAAAACACCTGGAGGGCCAAAGTTGGCCCATGCCCGTTTTAGAGGAACCTCCTGATGGCAAGAGCGCAGAGGCAAGGATGGCCATCTGTCGGGAGGGCTTTGATTGCATTTTCCAGGGAGGGTTGGACAGGACGGCTTTTTGGGCGCCTCCCAACGCAAGGGAATTGAATCAGGAGACGAACTCCGCACGGTTCAACAAAACCCAACCATGTGTACGCCACTAACTTCTAGGAATAAGGCATGAGAAGAGAAAACCAAGGCGCTGGAACAAGTGGCACTGGCAGCCTGGATGCCTCTCCCTCTTCCCTTCCCTTTCCCGGCTTGATTACCTTGATTGCTGGAGGCGAGGCGTCTCGGTTCAGCCGCCACGCACGGGGATGCCTTGGCTTCAGCTCCCGCCACGGAGCCCTCGCTTTCCACGCCTGGCGAGGAAGGAGGGAAGGAAGGAGGGAGGGAGCCACCTGGAGGGAGGAGGCGCCTGGCGACACAGGGAAGGAGGGCGGGCGGGCTGGCTGGCGGGGCTCTCTCTCTCTCACTCTCTCTCTCTCTGCCGCGATGGTGGCGGCTCCCAGCGGCCAAGGGGCTGCCCCTCCTTCCCTTTGCCTCCCCAGTCGCTCCTCCTGACCTGCCCGTGACTCACGAACCGGAGGGAAGCGAAAGGAGGCGCGAAGACAGCACAGCAGGCGTTGAATGGACCTGCCCGCCTCCCCAGAAAGCCTACGGTGGCCACACAAGGAAGGAGTTCCCGCAGTCACTGCTCCTGACCCGCCTCTTCTCTCTCCCACAGAGGCTGGGTCTTCTATAAATGCCGCGATCCCCTTCATACAGTTTCTCATGTTGTGGGGAACGGAACCATAGAATTATTTTCGTTGCTACTTCATAATAGTCACTTTGCTACTGTTATGAAGCGTCGTGTAAATAATGTAAGTTGGCTAAAGCTCAGGAATGGGCAAACCCAGGCCCTTGGGTTTTTTTTCTCAGCCCCCCCCCCCCCACACACACACACATACACACACCATCCTATCATTCCTTCTCTTTCCTTCCTCCTTTTCTCTATCCCTCTGTCACTCTCCCACCATCCTATCATTCCTTCTCTTTCCTTCCTCTTCTCTCTCTCTCTCTCTCTCTCTCACACACACACACAATCCTATCATTCCTTCTCTTTCCTTCCTCCTTCTCTCTCTGTCACCATCCTATCATTCCTTCTCTTTCCTTCCTCCTTTTCTCTCTCCCTCTGTCACTCTCCCACCATCCTATCATTCCTTCTCTTTCCTTCCTCTTCTCTCTCTCTCTCTCTCTCTCACACACACACACAATCCTATCATTCCTTCTCTTTCCTTCCTCCTTCTCTCTCTGTCACCATCCTATCATTCCTTCTCTTTCCTTCCTCCTTTTCTCTCTCCCTCTGTCACTCTCCCACCATCCTATCATTCCTTCTCTTTCCTTCCTCTTCTCTCTCTCTCTCTCTCTCTCTCACACACACACACACAATCCTATCATTCCTTCTCTTTCCTTCCTCCTCTCTCTCTCACCATCCTATCATTCCTTCTCTTTCCTTCCTCCTTCTCTCTCTGTCACCATCCTATCATTCCTTCTCTTTCCTTCCTCTTTTTTCTCTCTCTCTCTCACCATCCTACAATTCCTTCTCTTTCCTTCCTCCTTCTCTCTCTCTCTCTCTGTCACTCTCTCACCATCCTATCATTCCTTCTCTTTCCTTCCTCTTTTCTCTCTCTTTCTCTCACCATCCTATCATTCCTTCTCTTTCCTTCCTCCTTCTGTCTCTCTCTCACCATCCTATCATTCCTTCTCTTTCATTCCTCCTTCCCTCTCTATTTCTCCCCCCTTCCTTCCCTTTCAAGCTTTCGTCCTTCTTTGCTCCCTCTTTCCCTTTCTCCTTCCTTCCTTTTTTGTCTTTTTTTCCTTCTCTCTTTCCTTCCTCCCTTCCCTCTTCTCCCTCCTCCCCCCGCTTCCTTTCCACCTTTTGTCCTTCCTTCCTTCTCTCTTTCTTTCCTCCTTCCCTTCCTTGCACTCGTCTCTTCCTCCCTTCTCTTTTTCCTTCCTTCCTTCCTTCCTTCCTTCCTTCCTTCCTT